AATAACAAGTTCAACCCGTCTATTTCTCAGCTTCCCAATCAGGGTTCTACAAGCTCATGTCAGCACGTGAGGATAGTTTGTTGAACGTTATGCAACTTACCTTCCGCAAAATTACCAAGCCTTCTAGAGTGCTGTTGAGGCTAATATACTCCTCATCTTCCAGCTCTGCTCGTTCACCATATCCGAGCACCACAGGTGTGCTCTGAGTTTGCCAGCCAGTGATTGTCTTGGGACGACCAGCTTGGCCAACGACATCGACGGCTTGACCCACGCGGACGTTGACCTTGAGAGGCTTGAGGTCTTCATCCAAGGTAACAAGGAAGCGGGGGTGCATGGCCGTGACAAGGAAGTAGAGGAGGTAATGTGACTGGCCGGTGATAAACTCTTTGGGCTCAATCATAGCGACAAGAGTAGCAAGCAGACCAGCGGCCGCTACACGGGACAGAACTTGACGATCTGTATGGAAGGGACTGATTGACAGAGTACCCTTACCCATGTGGAGGAGACCCTGGGCGATTCGCACCATAAAAAGAGCATCCTGATCACGGTGGTAGTAACTGGCGAGTTGTCGAAGCAGCTGAGCTAATCGGGCGTTGTTGGTGCCTGCACCCAGAAGACCCATGGCAAAGATGGCGTTGATAGCAACCTCAGGATCATTGTCGTGGCTGTATCTTGAGAGGGTATCATACACCTTCATTTGAGGGTTGCTAGGGCTAATGAGACCCATGGCAAGGGGCACAGCTTTTCGAATGTTGGCCTCGCCGTAGTGCATGAGATGACCGAACTGACGCAGGACCATTTCTTGTCCAATATCTTCACCCATAGCCACAAGTGCAATACCAATCACCGCGTATGCCTGCAGAAGTTCGTCACCCCTCTTCTCTTCAGACTCCTCTTGATGCTCATTGCAGATATGAAGAAGCTCCTGGATCTTAAGGACAGCGCCAGTACCGGCCCACGCGCAAATCTCAGCCATGACAGCGGTCGACTTGGCCATAGGATGCTCGATGGCCTTCAGGGTTTCGAGGATAACATCAACCTCTTCTTGGCGACCAAAGAAGAGAAGACCTAAACCAAGAGCCAAGAATCGTGTCCACTTGTCAGTCAATTGGTTTTTGCGATCGTCGTCCATTAGAGTAGTAATAATGGCCTCGCTGATTTCCGGGTGAGAAGAGCCAGTGAAGATAAGACCGCAGGATAAAGCAGCCATTGCCGAAATCTGCATATCAACACTAGCATCAGAGATCATGGGTAGCAAGTGCTCGAGAACGTCCTCCTTGTTGGAGCCGGCATAAGCAAGTCCAAGACCCATGATGCAGGCAGTCCTGACGAGGGGGTTGGGATGGTAAAGCTTGTCCCCATCAGCCAGCAGGGCAATGGCTGGGTCTGAATCCATTACTACGCCCGAATTCATAATTCCAATAGCAAGCATTGCGCCAGCCGAAATCTCTGCCTCTGAGGAGTACGTATACTTATCGATCTTGTCAAGCCCATTCTCGATATCCCACATTAAAAGGGTGCCCATGGAGGCAACGGTGGACATCATGCCGTCGGCTTTGGTCTTCCAAACCCATGTCTCCTTCTCACCGTCGACAAGCATCATTTTATCGTTGCCAAAACCAGCATTCACAAAAGCATTGACGAATGCCGCTGCAAGGTTATGCCGAGCAGAGTCCAGGTTGGTCATTCCTGCAACTCGACTGCTCTCCAGGTGGCTCTTGTAGATATCCTCGGTGGTCTTTGGCTCCAGGATGTTGAGCTCCTTGCCAAGCGATTTGAAATGTTCCGACAGCTTCAGGTTGCCGACGGACTCCACAAGGGCAGTGTTCTCTTCTGACTGGTCATCAGCATCAATGACTATTCTTTGCCGCGCAATCAGAAACGCAAGCTGCTTCTGAAGGGCAGGGTCTTCAGCCTTGTCGAAATCGGACTTAATGAGTTCGTAATCGTGTAGTCGAATTGCAAGGACCATAGCCTGTGCAAACTGCTTGTATTCCATGTAGATGTCGTGTGCGGTCTTGAGAAAAGTCTCATTGTCGGGGTAGGTGAGGAGGTTCACCATTGAAGACATGTACAAGCATACACGAGCGTACGTGTTTTCGTCCACAAACTTGGGCATTTCCTCAATGATTTCAAGTTCGCTCATAAGATCCACTGCATCGGCCTCGGCATTGCTCTTGAGGAAGAGGGGGATCAAAACAAGTGCCAGGTCGATCAGGTCCTTGGTGGACTCGTCATTTGCGATTCGCTTTCCATACACTTCTCCAATCTCAAGCGCGAGATGCCTAGTATACTCGTGACCCCACGAGCTGATGTCAGATGAAGGCGCTTGAAGTCTGTAAAACAGTGTGTCTTGTCGGTCTTCATCTGAAAACGTCATGCCGATGACGGAGAGAACATCCGCCAGCGAGGTCCTGTCTTCGCCCTCGGGCCACTGCTCGAAAAGTTTCGTCAAGGACTCGTAATGCGGTCGTAGGAATTTGAGGGGCTTTGGAACTGCTGTCATGGATGACGTCGACGTCTTTATCAGGTTCTTCATAGCTTCAAGGGCGGGCTTGTAAAGTTCTGTGTTTGGCTCCTGTATATTGTTAAGACCATTGCACCAAAGACTTGCTAGCGGATAAACTTACGGTCAAGCGCTCGACCAGCAATTCAAGCTCATTCTTGAGTTGTTGGTCCTCCTCGTTGAGCTCCTCCTCAGCAGCTAGGTCCCTAGTCAGTACATCATTTCATGCAAACGGCAGGGTCTCATACTCTCAATCTTCTCTTCTTCTTTCTTTCCATTTGTCTGTTGCTTGTCCTTCTTCGCATCGTCGACGGCCTTGCCCTTGCCCTTGTCGGCCGCCTTTGGCACCTCGCTGTCTTGAGCCATGTTGATGTCGTAGGCCTGGGCGCCTGGTAGAGTCCACTGAGCAGACTGGCAGCAAAAAAAAGACAGAAAGGTAAACTACTATACAAGCCTGAGCTGTGTCCTCAGTGATCGCGGCGTGTCAGTTTTGAGAGTTGTGCTATCGTGGTCGTGGGTTGGTGTGGATGGAAACTGATGGAGGCTGCTTGGCTAAGCTCAAGGTGCTTTGCTGTAGGTAGCGGTAGCTCTGCTGGGTTACGCGAAGCGCTGCCGCCTGGCTATCCCCAGCCTCATCACGTGCAAGCCAGCACAATAGGACCCACATTGCCAAGAAGGCAGACTTTTGATAACGAGCGATAAGATCTTCAAGAAAAAATAACCCCACCATACAGCATCAACCCCTCCAACTCCAACAACAAAAAACATCAGTTTTCAACAAATCCTTGAGATAGAGGTTCAAGCATTTATCCTGAAACTCTCTACAAAAGCGGCCCACCATGAAGTTAGATACACGGGCAATGCGCCACCTCGCCTCTGAGGATTGGCGAGTTTTGACAGCAGTATGCATACGCCCTGGCCATCACCGTTAGACACAAGACTTAAACCAATTATAGGTCGAAATGGGAAGCAAGAACCACGAACTTGTCCCAACTTCATTGATTGAAAAGATCTCACGCCTTCGCGGTGGTGCCGGAAGCGTTCATAAGAGTATCTCAGCCCTTGCCAAAGTCGGTCTCATTGCACGGGTGAAGGAGGCAAAATACGATGGATATCGACTTACGTATGGTGGACTCGATTACCTTGCACTTCACACCTATGCCAAGAAAAAGGATGTCTACAGTGTAGGAGACAGAATTGGTGTGGGTAAAGAGAGTGATATCATGGTTGTGGCAGATCATAGCGGCACCCAACGAGTCCTCAAGATCCATCGACTGGGCCGAATTTCTTTCCGAACCGTCAAATCGAATCGAGACTACCTTAAGAATCGACAATCTGGATCATGGATGTATCTTTCACGGCTCGCTGCCATGAAAGAGTTTGCTTTCATGAAGGCTTTACGTGAAGAAGGCTTCCCCGTCCCCGAGCCCATTGCACAATCACGGCACACAATTGTCATGTCGTTAATAGACGCCTTTCCTCTCCGACAGATAGCGGAAGTTCCTGATCCGGCATCTTTGTATGCTGACCTCATTGCTTTGATCCTCCGACTCGCCAAACAAGGACTGATTCATGGTGATTTCAATGAATTCAACATCTTGATCAAGGAGAACATTATCAAATCTGAGGATGGGGAGGAGACTCTGACACTCGAGCCTGTCATCATCGACTTCCCCCAAATGATTTCTATGGAGCATCAAAATGCCGAGATGTATTTCGATCGAGACGTGAACTGCATCAAACGCTTCTTTGAGCGCAGATTTCACTTTGTTTCAACAGAACCCGGTCCCTTTTTCAAACATGCGAAAAAGACAGTGGGTAAGGATGGCGTGAAACGGCTCGACGCTACGGTGGAGGCTTCTGGCTTTACAAAGAGGATGTTGAAAGATCTTGAGGCTGCTATCAAGGAAAAGGGGGATCAAACGGCTCAACATAGTGGGGATGAAGACGATGAAGATGAGGGTGACGACAGTGATGAAGAGAGTGAGAACAGTGATACAGATAACACAGAACACCCTCATGATGGCCAGGTATCAGGCGGTCTACTTGGCGATGATGCTATGGCTTCGAAGGAGGATATGGTAGAGGAGAGCATGTCAAAACTGACAGTATAAATGAAAAACAATGATACCCATATCTTGGAAGATCCAACAAGGCCAACCAAGCATGTCTTCGCTCACAACAAATCTGCGACTCAAAATAACTGAAGGAATTCTATGACATTAAGAAAATTCTCTCTAAACGCCCTCTGACTTTTATGGCACGAAGCCCCCGAATCTAAACTACAAAAGCTCATGACATCATATCATGGCATGAATTCCTCGAGTGTAACAGCTACCTCAGACCATAAGATGTTCCGCGATGGCTACACTGTTGATGCTTGAGCCAAACACTCCAAGACGGAAAACAACGAGAGACGAATGATAAATGAAAACGCGGGTTCCGGCGTTACCAGCCAGATAGAATCCATTTCAACTGTTGGCAGTTCGAGATCTTAGATCTCCTTCTTGATCTCCTTCTTGATCGAAGGGGACGCATCGAAGGATGAGCCAGTCACCACTCCATCCACGTGAACGGGGGTGTTCTCGCCGCATTCGGATGAGGCGGGTGTGGCAATCACTTCATTGGTGCTCCCGATAGCAGCCGTCCTATACCAAGGGTTAGAAAAAAGTCACAGAACCCCGGGGCAGCCCTGTCTCATACCCAATGGATTGACGCTGAGAAGCCAGGCGCCGAGTCTCATTGTTGGTATCGGACACAGAGGGAGCCGGTGGCTTGGGACTAGGAAAGTGTCAACCTCTGTGAGAAAACAATACGCATTGAAACTTACGGCCGGGTGATGGGGATGACTGCTCGTCGGTTCTGGGCATGGTGAGGGTACATGGAGCCACCATAGCCGACGAGGGGAGTGCCGTAGGCTCCGATATTGTACTCGTTCGTTCGGAACTGACGACGCTCAGCGGTGACTCGCTTCAATTCCTTCTGAGCTGGAGTATCAGCGTAGCGAATGTTCATGAGAAGTCCTTCATCGCCAACACTCGAACCATGGAACCTCTCGATAACATCATCGCAAATGTCTCGGTTCTCAAAGCTGTGCTTCTGTTAGCCACATACACTCATCCTTAGCCCTGAGCACCTACCGAGCGAAACCAACACCACGGCTGTTCCCCATGCTATCACGAAGGATCTTGCTGGACAAGATCGTATAATCCCTGAAAATGGCGCCGAGCTCCTAGCAGCAGTTAGAGGCTGTAGAACATATTGAGCCATGGTTTTCAAAACGTACCACTTCTGTCAGAGACTTAGGAAGGTTCGAGATGTACAGGTTGGTAGAGTCGTCGTCACCCTCAGCCTTGAGACGAGAGTTGAAAGACTCCTGAAAAAAGAAAAGAAAAAAGTGTCAGTTTACCCTTCTCAACACTCATCCATGGGTTGGGGGAACATGCCCTAGCAAAGCCGACTTCGTATCCAAGACGATGGAATCCGCGAATACACATCTCGGAGTGAGCAACGTCAAAGAACTTTGCGAAGCCAAATCTTGTCTTTGTTAGTCATTGTTTGTTCCAAGATTTGCGTAACGAAACGTACCCTTTGCACGCACCGGTGGCAGTGTCAATGATAGCCTTGGAAGTCTCGACTTCACCGAAACGGGAAGTGAATTGATACAGGGTATGGTCATCGGTGGTCGGGTAAAGGCCACGGATATAGACATTGCGGTTGCCGGGGATTCGATTTTCGAGGCTCTGTTCAAGGCTCTTCATCTGACCTGCAGGCGTGAAAACTGCGGGAACCGCCGTAGGAATGGCAGGTTCCTTTGCCAATATCTCATCCAGGACGTTATCAGACACTGGAGAAGGCTTTGTCTTAGTCGTAGCTTCGACATGATGAGAGCCAAGGAGTTGGTGGGGAGAAGGAGTTGTATACGCTGATCGGTCGCTGTGAACTCTGGGACCATGCTCACGATTTGGCCAGCTCCCGTAAAAGGGGGTAGCAGGTGCGGACTCTGTGGTCGAGTAGGAGCCGCGGCGGTTCTCCAAACCAGGAACTTCGGACTGAGTTCGATCACCTCGAGGATGTCCAGCATTGGCGCGAGCGGGGGTGAAGGGAACGAGAGGGCCGGATAGAGCATATGGGTTGGCATAGGCTCCATTTATCTGATAACCAGGATAGGCCGATTCATTTGGGTGGTTAAGGGCAACCGACTGGGAACCTGACATGGAGGCAAGAATGAGTCCATCGGAAGAAACCATGTAGGGTGGTGGCATGGGAACAGGAGCGCCCTGGGGAGCAGGCAAAGTCATGCCCGTAAGGCTCAACCCCTGAAAGTGGCCCAACAAAGCATTGTGATCGGTAGAGCCAGGGATAGCGAGATGCTGAGGTCGCCTATCAGGCTGGTTGGAGAGGAAAGGTGCCACACCAGCGGTCGGTTCCATGGTCGCCATTGAATGAGGATGTATGACTGAGATATCTATGCAAATGTCAGACGATCATTCATTTGGTAATGATGAAGGCTCGGACTCGGTTAGGCTTGAAGATGAAAAGGGATATTGCTACAACAGATTGAACATCCAGAGGGGTAATTGCAAGCATCTCACCTCACAAGCAACAGATCGGCTGCAAAAAGCAGTGCAAGATGCGAATAATCGGTGGATGTGTGAAAATCTGGCTGTATCCAAGATGTCAGTTGAGAAGTGCATGTGTGGGTGACGACAAGAGGGTATGATAACTTGGTAGAACAGATGTTCCCAGGGATTCGAACAGAACATCCAACTGAGTATATGGACGAACGATATTCTGGCAGTCCTGTATTGCTGTGATAAGGTTGAGGGATGAATGCGTGAAAGCAGAGTGACTGGGGCAAAGGTCTGCAGCAAACATACCTCGAGGGCTTGAATGATGATCAAGCAGTTGATGGACAAAGCAGGCTGAAAGAAGCCGATGATGACGAACTCTGGGGTACCAAGACTGAGATGAAGCGAGAGTAAGTAAATTAGCCACGATAGCGTGCAAGATGGAGTACAGAAGAGATTGAAGGTATGAGGAGCGTTGAATGAAGTCTGTGAAAAGAAGATGAAGAAGACAAAGAGAGGATGAGAAGAGACGAGGGAAGATATAGGGGAAATAGAGGAAGAGAAAGGATGAAGCAAGCACCTACCTACCTAATAGTGCACAAAAATGATGATGTTGGAAAGAGGTATACTGATGAAAGAGGAAGGACCTTCTGCAGTTGAGAAAAAGGCAAGAATGATGCTATCAGTAAGACCTATGTCCGCGCAAAAAATGTTGTCAAAACGCTGTTGAGTGAGAAGGTCGGATGAGATATGATTTGGATGAATCTTGAACAATGGGAAGGAATAATAAGAAGAATAGCAAAGAGGAGAAATTCAATGCGGACCCTCTGACAGCCTCAGGATTTCTGACAGTGTCAACCTATCTTAGGAAGGTGAATTATTTGTTGTAGCTGGCAAGAGCTGCGAAGCGAGGTCCTGCCTGCCACTTCCAGACAATGATATTGGAAGGACCTAAGCACCTCCCATGGAAGTTTGTAGAACGAGCTTGTTACTAGGTATTAAGTACCTCAGGATGAGGCAATGGAAAGGGTTATTAAGGTATGGGCTAAGATCAGAACAATTATGTATGTATGGTTGAGAATATCTGCAATGATAGTCACGTTGTCTGTCTATTGTTCTGTTGTTAAATACGGGCCAGAGCGACGGGTACTTGGGCAGTGCTGATATTCGTGCGAGGGCCGAGGCTTTCCAGATATCAGCATGAACAGCACCGAGAACATCGGTTTGGTGATTATGGAAACGTAATGTTGAAACCCATGAAGATAAGGATCAGGAAAGACGGAAGTCAATGCCAGTGAAACGACAGTGAATAGGAAGATTGTTGTGGTGACTGATGAAAAGCAGTGTGGATCAAAGCAACATACCGTAAGTCTTTCGTAGATGTGCCTAGGTCATGAACACGCAGAAGCAATGATACTTGTTACTAAAAGTCAATATGTTCAAAGGTCAGTATCTAGATAGCTGAAGTGGCCTGGATCTAAAGCCCTTTCTTGTATGTGCTGAGAGATGGCTTGGACCCCAGCTGAAGTACGCAGACAATTGTATTGAGGAGTGTACAAGATGTATCTTCATAAGAGTATGTTCCGTATACTTCTAGGCAGGTATTTTGCGGCATGGCTCATAGCACAAACAGATCTCCCATGCGAGCAAAACCAACCATTTCCTGGTCGCTTGTTTGAGCTCAAATATCGAACTCTCTTGTAGTCATTTTCCCAATGTCTCGCGCTCTGATTTGTTGAATATTATGCAAGATCTTGTCAGACAAGGCGTGCATGTTCGCCATCCCATTCCATGAACACCTAAGTATGCATGTCTCTGTAAGCTGCATGTTCGTGATGCTTTCCAATCCTTGGTAGTACTTCAATATCAGCTTTCTAGCTCTTGGCTTGTCTAGTATGTTTGACCTGTGAGAATACATATTGCTTTTCATATGCTCTTTTGTATCCGTGCAGTTTGCACCTGCATCAACCGCTCGGCTTGTCTTGTATTGCCTGCCCATGCGTTTGATGACTTTCTTTTTAGTCAAGTTTCAGCCGGGCGATTTAGACCCTTCGATGGGTGGAACGCCAGCAAATTTTGGTACATTAGGGTCGTTTAATATTTCCCCCCGAGGGTAGGTAAGTAAAGTGTATTCCTCTTGAATTTATATCGTCGACCGTGATAATACCACATCGTACCCATAGTTCATCTAGTAAAGCACTTCGAATTGCTCAAATGCTCAGGTTTGGCCCTTGTGACATGGCTTCAAGATATCCTCCAACGCCATAAAGTAGTACTGATTTCCAAGTACCAGGTTGTTGGAATTTATTCGACTAGCGTTCGTGCATGTAGACGGAAAGAGATAAAGTTTTACGATTGCAATATGCAAGGGAGAAATAATCCCAAGCCCTTCAATTGGTGGTGTCAGCGACCAACCACACCGTGATGCAGGGTAGGCTTACTCCATGTCTGAACGGTTTGCATATAACGTGATACCCATCGACACGCCGTCACATACCAGCATGGGCCGGCCCATACATGACTGCATATACAAACGCTGAATTGGAATGTTTGTATTTATTTCATTCATCATCGTACCTTCAACAGGAGCACTGGCCAATTATTCAGTCTGGCCCAAACTTTTAACCATGACTTGTCGATTTCTTACATCTTAAACTTGGTTCGTCTTACTAAGGTGGCATGAGGTGATGATCTACAGACTTGCTTCTGTCGGCAAGTCCATGTCTAAGTGGCAGAAAGGCTGTGACGGCGCAGATAACCAAAGCTTTCTTGGACAGGTTACAAACGATGACAACAATGTAGATGCCGCAAACCATATACCGCAATGTACCAAGCCATCCTAACACCATCCCTCTAGTTTGCTGCAAGAAAACCCTCGAGTCTACTTTGTATCTCGTCAAATATCAACACCACGAACATAGTCGCAGTCGAGCAGAACACCAACCATGAAACCTGAAGAGTCATCGCCGCCGATGACTTGACTTTGAATTTAGTATGCCATTCGCCCCATTTTCTATGACCAAACATCCTCCTGTAATTCTGAGTTAGCATATGCGGTTTCTTTGCAGTGAAGAGTAACAAAGTCACTACATACCTGGTATTGGTTCGCTGATCTCATGTTCTTCACGATCTCCTCGCCCTTGGCCTCAGACACCCCACGTCCCTCGGCAATGATTTGTGCTAAGACGGTATTGACCTCACGGGCCATGTGGGCTGCATCACCGCAGACATAGAAATAAGCCTTCTGGGAGAGCAGATCGCTGACCTCTTTAGATCGCTCCTTAAGTCGGTGCTGAACATAAACCTTCTTGGAGCCCTCTCGAGAAAAGGCGGTGATCATTTCAAATTTATCGCCAAGGGCCTCCTTGTATTCCTGAGAAACAGTCAGTATAAGCCTCGAACGATTGAATTCTATATTGTCTTACCTGCCACTCCTTTTGGTACATGAAATCCTCGGTTGACTTTCGGCAACCAAAGAACAAGAGTGTCTTTCCAACCTCAACACCATCACGGGCTTGCTTAGCACGCTCCTGCACGAAACCGCGGAAGGGAGCGACACCAGTACCAGGACCAATCATGATGATGGGCTTACCGGGGTCTGAGGGCAGCTTGAAGTTGGAGTGACGAACATGGACAGGAACGTGGATGCCATCATACTTATTGCGGGGGCCTGTAAGCTCGTAGCTCTGACCAAAAGGTGCAGGGTTGGGGTCGCCGTTCTGCTTTTGCTTTAGGGCAAAAAGATAGTTTGTAGCAACACCACGGAAAGGATCATCCCGGCCAGGAATCTGCTGGGACTCAACGACGGCAGTGATCGAGATTTTCTTGGGCTGAACCAGAGACGAGGAAGAAATGGAGTAGTAACGGGGCTGGAGCTTGGTGAGACCCTCGATGAAGGCAGAGAACGGGATTTTGGTCCACTTCTCGCCCTTGCTGACGCTGGCAAGGAAACGGGCGATGTTGTAGTAATGCGGGCCAGTCTTCTCGTGGAAATAATCCTTATCGCTGCCAAGGCGGTTCATCTCAGCCTTGATATCATCGTTGGGAGCAAATGCGGCGAGAGTAGAGACGAATTGACGTGAAACAGGAGCGCAGATCTCGAGGTGGTATCGCAGAATGGCATCGTAGGTTGTAGGGTTGGGGAAAGGAACCTTGGCGGTAGGCTCGAGAGCCTTGACAGTGACAACGCTGTGCTGCTTTCCAGAGAGGTCGAGAATATCCAGGAATTTGTTGACCTCCTCACCAGGGTTGGTAGGCCAGATAGCAATATGGTCTCCAGTCTCGTACTTGAGGTTAGAACCGCTGATGTCAATTTCCATGTGGAGGCAGTTTCTGTCCTTGGCGGAGAACAACTCATAAGATTCAGCGATAGGGGCAATGTAGGGGTTGTGAGAGTTGAATGGTCCCTTGGCGGTGCCTTCGAGATGCAGCTTGTTGGGCTCACCGAGATACACTTCATTGGCTTCAGGAGTCAGATCGTCGCGTTCGTTAATGGCAAAAATAGGCTCGTAGACTGCTTCACGCTCTTCCAGTCCCATTTTCTTAGCGAGGGCTTCCCACATGGGATCCTTCCAGGCCAAGAAGTCCTCTTCCATGGTACCAGCACCATCATCACCCTCACCAGCTTCACCGATGCGGTGAGCGCCAAGCTTCTCGAGAGCCTTGTTAACATTGCGGACCATGGAGTTGTAGTGCTCGTACGTGTTGTTTCCGAGACCGAAAGCAACGTAGTTGAGGTTGCCCAGCGGAGGATCATTGCCCTCATTGAAGCTGGCATCCTCGCCGGTAATGAATTCATAGAAGTCGACCGCGTTATCGGTAGGCTCGCCTTCACCATAAGTTGCGAGAACGAACATGACAAT